AATATTATAATACAAGTCAAAGACACGACAAACTCTATGAGATGTTTCCACACACAATTTGAAAAGAGGAAAATGGTAGCATGCAGACTTCAGTTAAATTGAACTATCTTTCTTGTTTTGTCTATTATTGAAGGAAAACAATCAATAGATCTAAATTAAATGGAAGAATTTATGCTCATAAAGGAAACCAAATGTCATGCATTCTGTTATATGTGTCATTGATAGAAAAAATAGTTGATGTAATTAGGCATAATCCATATGAATGAAAAATCATATGAGTTGAACATATACATGATCAATCATCGAGCTACATGGCTTCATTTCTCATGTGAAACGAAGTTAAAAAACATATTCATCGTGTATCTACACATGAATTTCAGAAAAGATATAATGGAACATGTTTGGTCTCTTAAAAGGGTTTAAGTAAGGGAGAATTAAGTATTTCAAAGTTTTTTTAGTGATATATCTTCCTTGTTTGTCCATCTTTCACTTCTTTAAGACATTGAAAGAAACTAAACATTGATGTCAAAATTGTCAATGTGATCTACTAGTTAAGTAGTCATGCCTTCATAATAGATGTCAAGTAATCATTTCCCCATTCAAGCACCCATATTAGAAAATTTGGTTGTTCAAATTAGTGGTCATAAAATGGAGAAGTTGGAAGTTGGATAAATAAGTTTTTTATGAGTTACATTGTTTTCGTTATGATCCATTATTGCTTATGATCTCGTTCTTCTTTCCAATTCCTCATTTTTCAGACAAGTTTGGAACATCATTATCGCCAGTAAAATCCGATGTGGGTGGAAATATAAATGTAAGTGTTGGAGATGAATGTCATCTTTTATTGTTTATCTATGCACATAGACATAGATAATTTATGCACCTTTTGGTGATATAATGACACAAATAATTATTGCTAAATTTGTTCTCAACTATTTTTTTAATGGTTTACTGATCCAGAGGTTGAGTATTGTGTATGAGTCCAACCCAACCAAGTTCAACTTCCTCCATAGTGTTGTACAGCCGGAGATTGAAGCCAAAACAGCAAAATCTTCCTCGAGTTGTACTAACGCTCTACTTTGGTTGACAAGGTAAACATATGATATTTACTACTAATCAACGTCACATACACATTAATTTTTTGAAGCACGTCCAATCAACTCTAGTGAAAGATTGCTTGTCACTGGGAAAAAATAATTCGTGTATCTAACTAGTGAGACATAAGATATATTTTATTCACGTAAAAAGCTCAATGATCTTTATCTATGAATTTTTTTGGATGCATACTTTCTTATAGGGCAATGGACTTCTTAATAGCGGTGTTTCAAAATATGTTGGATCATCCTGAATGGGGAATGTCACAAGTTTGCTCCTCTGCATATTCAAAGACCTTAAAGAAATGGCATAACTGGCTTGCTAGTTCAAGTTTCATGGTAAAGAAAAATAATAATAAAAAAACTTATGTCTTCATTTATATAATTACATTCACTTACATATATTAAGCCTGTTATCTTAGTTTTGCCTATATTTGTACAGGTAGTCATGAAGCTAGCACCAGATAGGAAAAAATTTGTGGAGGTAATAGGAAGAGGGAATGAGGATCTTAATATACAAATGAAGGAGTTCTGCACAAGATTTTCACCTTTTCTTAGAGAAAATCACAAGTTCTTGGTAAGAAAGTAAACCGTCATATAAAATTAATGAATTTCTATCATAACCATTGTATAGATTAAAACAAAAGCTTTCCGAACTAATATTCTTTTACGCTTCTATTAATTTCCCAACTTTGTCTTGTAGGTGAGAGTTGGAATGGATAATCTGTGAGCTGATGGCTAATTAGGATGTCAACAAAATACAGAATAGTGATATATTTCTCTTTTTCTGTCTTCTTTTTCTTTCCAATTAATTAACACACAATTCATAAAAAAATTAACAACAAACATGTTTTTGACCAAATAGAAGCATACGGAGACAAAGGGACGGAGGCGATAAAACACATACGTGTTAGTTATTGTAAGTGCAACATTCAATTGACTAAGTTAGTTACAAAAACTTCTTAAATCAAAAGTCAACACATTATGCATTGTATTACTTCTGCTTCTTTCTGCAAAACGCTACTCTTCTCCTCTTATATTTTTTATATATTTTTGTATAAAATAGTTGTACTATTATGATTGATTTTCCCCCAAACATAAATGCTTTTATTGCATAAAAATGCCAAAGTAACATTTATACTTGGGATGGTAGTACAAATATAATAATAATTATTTTTAGTTTTGGTAAGGTTGGGCGACAAAGTGGTGTCGAGTAGGAATTAGGGTTAATATTAGGATTTCGGGTCTAGTTTCTATAAATATGGACGCGAGAATTCCTTTAGGATTATTAAAAAAGAATCTCTTCTTCTCTCTATTCTTTCCCAATTCTTCTTCAATCCTCAATCCCTAACCCTAATTTCTCCTCTCAATCCCACTCAATCCTCCTTAATTATCTTGATTTATTATAGTGGTATCAGAGCCCGGTTGTGAGAATGAGATAATTGAAACTCTCAACCAGGGAATGAGCTCAACTCTCACTCAAGGAATTGGCTCGCATGTTTCAAGCCGAGATCAACATAATATTGTTTCAAGCTGGATAGAAACAATAGAGTTTTGGGCTAATACCACTGGGAAACCCGAACTATTAACTTTGTGTCATTTGTGTCCTAAAGTATTCGATATGACATTTGTGTCCTAAACTATTTTTTCGTTAGAGTTGACCGTTAGTTTTTAACAGAAAGTCTAGTCAGCGCTTATGTGGCATCTGGCGTGGAACTTTTATTATTATTTATTTATTTTTCCTATTGCTTAAAAAAATAATTAAAATGAACATAATTGAGAAATTGAAAGCCACCGCCTCTGCCACCACAAAAATCCTCCTCCTCTGCGATAAGTCCTCTCCTCTTCTTCCCGAGCCTCCAGGAACTCTGGTCAGCTCTCCCCTTCGCTGCCTCCTCACCTCACCTCCGCTCCAATCCACTACATTACGTAATCCTTCTCCACCCTCCCTGATTCCGATTCCACTCCGCTATCTTGTTTCCACCACCAATCCCTTCTGGATCCGCCTTTTTTCCCACCCAAATCTCGCCCGCTTTCCATGCTCGCCCTGTCAAACCCTAACTCCGACACGCTCGCCTTATCCGCCCCCACGGCCTCTAGCGACGTATCCGAATCCAAGATCTTACTCACCGGTGAGCGATCGACAGCTGCTCCGGAGTCTTCGTAGCCGCCGGTCGCGACGCTCTCCGCCTCCTCCAGGATGGATCCGTTGTCCTCTCCGGCGGCACACTCGGCGATCTCCCCGTCTTCAATCTAGAGAGTCCGAAGTGGTGGGAGCGGTGCGGTTGCTGGAGAGCTTCCGGTAGAGTTGGAGGCAGATCTTTCCCCCACCGCCGCCGGTTTCGTTCTCTCTCTCTCCTACACTGCCCCCGCCTCCAGGCTTGAGTCGCCGCAAACCTCCCACCCGCATCTCAGTCAACTGGCTCCCTGACCACCTCATTTGTTATGACCGGCGGTAATCAAAAGGGTTTCCCCAATCAGCTCTCCCTATCTCACCATGCTTTCTTCCCCGGAAGTTGCTTTCAGTTTGGGCTAAGCAGAAAAGGCAGATTTGCTTTCATTTGGGAGGATTTGCTTTTGCCTCTCGTTCAATTTCACTTCGGAAAGCAGAAAGGGCAGATTTGCTTGCAATTGGGAGGAAGAGATATGGTCGGCGACGGCGAATTCTGAACTAACTGCAGCTGCTTCTTCGATTGACAGAGACCCACCCACCAGCTGCTTCTTCGATTGACAGAGGAACCACCGAGCCGGTCGCCTTCTCCGCAATCTTCTCCGTCGCTCGAAATCAGGCTAGAAGCGGAAAATGGAAGGGGCAAATTGACGGGATGAAGATATCATGAGGATATGTGGCTGAAAATAATTTTAATTGTTAAAATTTTTATTTTGTATTTTAATTGTTAATTTTTATTTGAAAATAACAACCTGATGTGGCAGCAGACGTGGCGCTTACGTGGCTGCCACATATGTGCCATGTAATTAACAGTCAACATTTTATGGTTGACCGTTTGGTCAACCGTTATCTATAACGGTCAACGAAATTGTCAGGACGTAAATGACACACAACTATCATACGTCAGGACACAAATGTCATATCGAATACTTTAGGACACAAATGACACAAAGTTAATAGTTCGGGTTTCCTAGTGGTATTAACCCTATAGTTTTCAGAGATACAGAGGAGTCAGTCATCGTGGTTTGTGTTAGAATTGGACGAGACATTTCGGACTGGTTATGTGCCAACAAGAAGGTGGATAGAGTCATTGCTGAAGAATGGCCGAGGAATCTAAAAACGCAGCTGGTGCCAAGAACAGGTGTTGCAGTGCAGCACTAAAGCATTGGAGAATCTTGATAAATTTGAGGCCGGTTGCAAGAGGGTCTCGCTCGGTTGTTGTACTGATGCCGCTTTGACTTTGAGTGGTGCTTAACTCTCCTTGAGCTTGGTGTCTGTTAGATTTTATAATTGTTTGAATTTGTTTTGCGCTTTTGGGGGAACTACTCGCTGGGCAGTCTGTATGTTGGAACCCGTTCAGCTAGCTTCCCCTTTGCTGTAGTTAGTGTGTTTGTTTGACTTTTGCTCTGTTTTTTTGTTTTTGAAACTTAATAAACTATTTCGCCATTATAAAAAAAAAAGAAAATTTTAATAGACGGGCTCACCTCTTGACCCACAAATTGTAATTGGGAAGGGAAGATGATATTTGAGTAGAAAGGCCACCATTTTTATCTCACATTTAAGAAAAGATGATAAATTCATTATCACCACCAGTTGAATAAAATGATCTTGGTCTTCTATAAAAAAAAAAGAGAAGAAAGATAGTGTACGTGTTGGTGTTGCTATTCTTAGAATAAGAGATACGTATTAACAGCAATCTAGCGCACAAGTTAGCTACAATACAGTGAAAGAAAAAAAGGATGTTTCCATATAACATGCAAAGCTGAGCTTTGTGAACGTCTTCAAGGGAATATATTGCCGCGCTCTTCTTATACTATTGAATTCGATATATGACTCTGTTTCTCTGACAACACCTCGCTCTTAAAGCCATCAACGACATTATGACCATCTCCGATCCCCGACGTTGTTGCTTTCGACTTGGATTTGGAACTCGCCCCAACCAATTCTTTTGATTTCTTTCGCCGCCCTGATTTCTTATGAGCATCTTCGACTTTGTTATCAACTTCATCCTTGGAACTGCTTCTTGATGTTGATTTGGAAGCACCATCAGCCTGATTCTGGACCTCCCTATTTGTGTTTCTGGAAGCCTTCCTCGTTTGTTTGTGTTGCTTGTTCTCTACTTCACCGTTGCCTGATGATCGTCGTCTTGATGACTTTGTTTGCTGCTCGGACGGTGGCACGATACCATTCCTTCTTGGAGAAGTTGTAGCACTCTTATGCTCTGTTGGATCATTTACCCAATGACCATATCATAATATCATATCATTGATACAAAGACACATCTTATCATATCATTGTTCCAAATAGTTTCTTATTCCAAACTATTTTGACAATTCTAGTGGTGATTTACCGAATTCTATTAGTTTTAGAATATAATTTTGGAGGAAGAAGTTTTAAAGATACTCACAGTCAGGTTTTTCATAGCGACTATTATAGATGTATGTCTTTAAATATTCGTTACTTACAAATCAATTGCTAGGACTTGCAAAGTTATTATAAATATTTACGAAATCATTATAGGAATATAAAAATGACAATAGTAGTGGTATAGATGAATAAATATGTGGAGAAAAAATATATTTGAGGTGAGGATACCTTCAGGGATAGACTGCAAGGATGATGAATTATTATTCAAGTCTCGATTCCCATTGGGAGAACTAGATCCTGACTGTCCTTTAAATTCAGTCATCTGTATATATAACCAACATATACAATAAAAGAATTACTTTTTAATTTAGTAACTATGTATGTGTGCTTAAATATAAAAAAAATCATTGATTTATCTATTGTAGTATCATATAAATTTATAGTTTGAAACGGTTACACCACCTTTATTATAGCTAGAATATGAAATAATTCAGAGCTAGAACATATTCAATTAGTATCTAATAATTGGTAGAACTTTGAAAATTTATGTAATAGATGCATTGGGAAGTACCCAAGTGGGAGGACTATCATTGTTGCCATCCCAACCAATATGGGCAACATGTTTAACATCCGTAGGATTACCAATCTGCATTTCCGCTTCCTTTTCTTCATCTGCCCGCCAAATGAGATTAATTAATACAAAATAAACATACAGAAAACATAAATAAACAATCTGTTGCTTATTTATTAAAGAAAGGGGAAAAAATATTAAGTTTTCAAATTAACTGATAAACATTTTCACGTACATACCAAATATCTGAGAAATGTATCTTAGGCCCTTTAAGAGACCCTTCATCGATTTCGGGTCTTTGTTCTTGTTGTTTGGGATTGACATATTGTATCTGGATCTTAATCACCCACCAATATTTTCTTATGTAATTCTTCAATAATCTAGAAATGCAAAACCCAGGAAAATATAAAATGAAAAAAAATAAAAGATTCAAAATAATTCTAACGAAGAAAACATACCTTCTACAAATGTGTAAGCTTTCTATTTGCAAAAATCCAATTACAGGTTAAGGTTGGAAAAGTTGAATGGAGCAAGAACAAGAGAGATAATTTAGAGGGCTTTGTTTCTTCTCCCCCTTTCGCGTCATCTTTTACTGCTTAAAGTGGGTAAGAGTTCCACAAATGTTAATGGCCATTAATTAAGAAAACCTAATTGTATTCTGGGAGTTGTCATGTGGACAATGCAAATGGAAGAGCGGTGTGGAAGCATCTAACTAAAATATAATTAGTTATAACAAAATGCCAAAATTTAGAAAATGTGTAAGCAGTATTAAGGAATGACTGGTAAGAAGGATAATATTTTTTTGTCATAAGCTCATTGTATTACCAAGATCAACTACATAGTAGTCTTTACATAACAGGCCTAAACCAATTATGATAATCAAACACACCCAACAATGCATGGCACAAAGAAATGACCTTTTTAGCAACCAAATAGGCTATCGTATTGCAATCCCTACCTACAAAGCGAAACTGAAAACCCGGGCAAGCCTTTATCAACTCTACCACTTCCTGAAGTATGGCTCCACCTCCGACGATCCCGCGTTTCAGTGCCATGAATTTTCTCAATCACAACTTTGGCATCACCTTGAATCAACATATCACCAAAACCTATCTGACTACACCAATGACACGCATCTCGTATAGCAACCAGCTCTGCCAGAAAAGGGTCTTGGATCCCCAGATATTGAAGCCTAGTTGCCATAGCCAACTCCCCTGTAGCATCGAACAGCACCAAACCCACCGCAGCGTGTGAGGCAGCAGCAATCGCCCCATCCACCGCGCAAACCAAGCCACGACAATCCATCCTCTCTCCATTTCCTTGAGCTCCCTGAACCGCCATACCACCATGTACCCTCACAGCAGGAGCCTCCCTAGCTGGAAACGCGGCCATTTCTTCACCTGAATAGTATATTGAAGAGACAAATGAGCAAAGGTAATCGGCTTCTCCTCATGCACCACCCAGTTTATTGACTTCCATATCTGCCAAAATATGGCCACTCCTATTCCATCCATCGTAGGAAGAAAATCCTAAATGTTCTCCTATCCAATCCTATGGTATAATAATCGGAATTTTTTCGATGAATTGATTATCGATATGATATAAGAGTCTTTGATTGGCAGGTTGTTGAGTTATAGTGACGTACAGGTACAGTTGAAGTAGTGGCGGAGCCAGAAATTTGAATGAGGGGGAAAAACTTGAATTGTGGTAATTGAGGGAGGGGAGGCTAAAGCCTTATCGACTATTTTAATTTTTAAATATTTGTAAAATTTATATGTAATTTTACCTATATTTCAAAGTTTAGGGGGGAGGGAGCTACAACCCCTCCTGATTTCAACCTAGCTCCACTTTAGCTCCTTGGGCATACTGTGTATGTTAGTTATGTAGTTTTTTATAGGCCCATGCTCATGCACAAGGGGAATCGGCAGAAACCTAGCTTGTGAGTCTATATATTTGTAGTTTTGTACCTTGTAAATTGACAGAAATCAACAGAATAATATGATCCTAAACTTCTTTCATGGAATAGTCTAGCCTCGAATCATGATCCCCAAACGAATCATTAGTAAGAAAAGTTGTATGAATATCCTGCAAATAGAAAAGTTGTATGAATATCCAACCTGAGTGCCTTCACTACGCCTGCACTCACCACATTGGTGCAGCTACCTCCATCCACAACCAAGGACAGCAGCTCCCCCTTCACCTTACACCGAGTATGGAAAAGGTTCTCTCTCTGCTCCAGTTCACTCTGAGGTTGTGCAGTTAACACCCTCCTAGTAACACAACTCCGGATCATGCCTCCTTTAGGTGGCTCCATCTCTATGGACTCATCCACTTCCGACTCCGGTGAACCAACTACATCGTCTCCGTCATCTTCTTCCTCAGATACATACTCTCCATTGTCCAAGAGAATCAATGTTTTCTTCATGGGACATTGCCTAGCCACATGTCCTCTTCCATGGCAGTTAAAACATTGAATGCCCACGGATGATCCACCTTGCTTCACATTGCTACTAGATCCTTCCACCTTGGCAGCATGTTTCGGACCTTCCTTGAAAGGTAGGCTTGGCCTAGAATTATTGGCAGCACTCGGCATAGGTCGTGGAGTAGAGTTAAAAGGTTGAATTCGTCGAGTTCTTTGCTGCCTCTCCACCTTAGCCGCCATAGCTAGCAACTCCTCCAGTTCAATGACGGATTGTATCTCTATCACATTTCGAATGTCTTTATTGAGACCTTGCAGAAAACGAGCAATGGTGGCCTCCATGTCTTCATTCACATCGGCACGGATCATTAAGGTCTCCATCTCTTGATAATAATCTTCCACACTCCTTGTGCCTTGCCGGAGAAGTTGTAAATTCTAGTGCATCTCCCTTTGATGATAGCTAGGCACAAACCTCTCTCTCATAATGCTTCTCATCTCGTACCAAGTCTCAATAGGTCGTTGCCTGTTTCTTCTTCTCTTGGTATTCAACTGATCCCACCAAATAAGAGCATACTCCGAGAATTCTAGGGCAGCAAGCATCACCTTCTTCTTCTCGGAATAATGGTGACAATCAAAAATCAGCTCCACCTTCCTCTCCCAATCAAGGTAGTGGTCAGGGTTTGTAGTACCACGAAAAGGAGGAATGGAAATCTTCAAATTTCGAAAATCTTCTTCTTCTTCTTGCTTGAACTCACCCTCATCTTCCTCAAACCCCTCGAACCCCTCATTACGAAGAGGTCTTCGTTCTCTCCTTACTGCTCGCGGCATTCCCCCCCCCCTTCTGTTTGCTTGGTGTCGTTGCACTTCATGGAACAATGGTGGGGATGCTCGATTTTCTCTTCTGTCTTCTCGTTGAACTCTAGGTTGCGGGTTTGCTTCCACTTGAAATTGTGGTTGAGGTTCTTGAAGTCGAGCTTCAATAGCTGCCATCCTCTCATTGTTCTCGGCACTTTGGATTTCTAGGGCTTGCAGAAGTTGCCCCAATTGAGTGGATAAAGCCTCGACTCTATCCTCCATCTTGCGGCACAAGAAAGGCCTCCAACCGCACAAGAAAATTAGTTCAGGCTCCAAGAACCACCTCAAGATTCGAGTTCTTCTTCAAGATAACTTCAAGAATACGCAAGATTCGGGTCAGAAACCCTAGATAACCGTCAAGAATCACAAGATAACCGCCACTCACTTAAACCAGGCTCTGATACCACTTGATGCAAGCAAAGTCACGCAGCTTTCACTCGATCACGAACAGGGATAAAGATGGACTCCAATAGGACAGAACTTGCTTGTGGAAAGGGGCAATTGGTATGTCAAACCAATCGGACAATCCCAACTAGAAGTAAAGGGCAATTGGAAGGGGTAGAACTCACCACAATCGAAGTGGGTATCGGATTGATAAGAGTTTGCTCTAGCTCTCTCCAGAATTCACTCAATGGAAGAAAGTAGGGCTAGAAACCTCAAAGGAGGATTCGCCAGAAGCCTTGAATAAATCAGTAGTTTGGTGATAATTGTCTAAAAAAAACCAACGTGTTCAGCCCTTTAAATAGGCAAAGTACAACCCAAATCCGACTCCAACATGGAAAAACAATCATAATCCGACTTTAAAACAAGGAAACTCAGAAACAGCCCAGCAAACCCGTTAAGCCCAAACCGTTAAGTCTGGACCCGTTAAGTAGACCCGTTAAACTGGACCCGTTAAGCAAACCCGTTAAGGCTGTTTCTTGCAATCTGCCTTCTCTTCAGCACTTCCTCCTTCTTCTTCCACGACTTGAATCATCATACACGCTTTGGACTTCAGCAACTCCACATCCATGTCTCGAAAATAGCACTCCAAATAGGTAGCAAACTTCTCTTTGAATGCCTTGGCCTTAGCTCGAGTGATTGGCCCCTTGATGTCCTCATCAGAGGGGCTTCTGGAGCTTGAAGTGCATAGTGTCGATGGATTTCGCTGTTGCGGTGGAGTTGAGCTTGTGCTTCTTCGCTTCTTCTAAGAACTGGGGAAAAACAGAGTAATTGTTGGTTAAATGGATTCTCTTTGAGATAATCGAAGGTTTTCATAAATCGCCATGATTATGTATATCACTATGAATACCACCTTAATTATGTAAAAGGTCGTCGAGTACACTTCTACTCGCTATTGGAGAGTACAAGACTGTGTAAAAGGTCCACCGGCAGGTTCAGGAACAAGGTAGTCGCGGCCAGGCGCTGCGTGGTGGTCACGGATGACGGGCGGTGTTCGTGGATAGGGAGGAACGTTCTCCAGGGAGGGGGCAACGCGGTGGTGGCGGCGACTTTCTGTTTGGGAGTCGTCAGCTCGGCGTCGAGCGGGATTGGTGGCGGTGCATTCATGCTCGTCCGAATGGCCTCCGGCGAAGCCCAGGCCTTCGGCATGTGGGAGGTTGCTCCGATTAAAGCTTCCCATTAAGGCTCAAGAATTTGGGCTTCGATTTTGCAACAATGGGATTAAGGTTATTTTTTAATTATTATGATATTGAGGTGGAATTTTTATTAGATTAGTTTTTTATATTTATATTTTAATTATCACATCGCCTATTTAACGGTCAACTATGAGAGTTGACCGCTTAATTAGCAAAAGTTAATGGAGACTAACGGTCAGTGACCAAACTTGGACTGCTAGCCTAATTTAAGTGACTACGGATGAAATACAGTAATTCTAGTGGCTAACGTGAACTTTACTAGTAATTCAAGTGACCAAACATGCAATTTAGCAGTCCATTGCTCTTTATGTCAATTGTGATTGAAAAAATATTGGTAGTAGCCTAAAATTGGGGAGCAGTAGTTAGAGAACGAATAGTGTGTATACTCTACCTATGCATGCATAACCCTAAATTTACCATTTATAGAGGACCACTAATTTTTCCTCAATTAAGTTTAACGGGCTAATATTTTGTTTTAATTCATAATTTAGTTTATTTGCGCACAGGTAAATCATATTTTATTTTGATATATATTGGAAAAAGAATTGTGATTTACATTACCAGTCCATAATATAGTGGTAATGTTTGTTAGTATACAAGATTATACAACGATAATATGAAAGTGTATCATGGCGGTATGAATATATCTAATTGTCATTCAACACCAATAACCACCCTATACCAGAGTGGTATATTTGATCTTGAAAAATGTTCTTCTAAAATTTGTAGATCCAA